AAATTTTTTTTGGATTAATGAATTATAGATAACTCTTATTCTATCAACTTCTGGTTCAAAAGTAAGGCTCATGATTCATTAGTTTTACTTTAAGATATACAGTTTTTTAAAGTGTATTCAACTACAATGCAAAAGATACAGATGTAACACATCACCTAAGAAAACAGCTTGATAAATGAGGTTCTACAAGAAAGGGTTTATGGGAAACAACCTACGAGAAGGAACAGAACAGCAGTGCTGGATAATTTGAGATACAAGACTGTATGGCGAGATGAACAGTCAAAGCCATTGTTTTGCCAAGAACCTGCCCTTTGCTAAATAACAATAAAAATAACTACTACATTAAAAGATGACAGTTAAAGTCTAAACTTTATACATCAATCACCAAAAGTACTTTGTGTATGACTAAAGATTTACTGATTTATCATCAAGATGATAATCCACCAAAAAAAGAAAAAGGTTTATTGCTTCTCATACAAGGCTTCATTAATTCATATTAAGTACACTATAATTTTATCCAAGTTTTGAGTTTATACTCTTAACTTCTATTAAAAAAAAATATCAAAATCAACAAAATGACATGTTAATTATATTATATTGGATAACACACTAACATTCTACACCAGTGTCAGCCACAATATAAACTGCAAGGCAGCAAAATAATCTGAGGTGCTTTACAAGTAATTTAAGGAATACAGTGTTTTTTTTTGTTTGGCATTTACTGAAATTAATGAAAACATAGTTCAATAAGATTTACTTACTCGCATAACATCGTTAAACCTAACATCTCTTTTAGTTACTGTTAGTAATTACATTTTTCTTACTAAAGACACAGGGCTAGTATAGTAATATTTGTTAAAAAAAATAAGTTTTAAGATGTAATGTCACGCAAACCACCAATTCTATAGATCTTGCTTCACATAAGTATTACCATGTTATTAGTAAAAGTACGATTTTTGTACAAACTTTAAAATAAGCAAGTTTCTCCATTTTATAGATTTTTTATTTATTTATTTATTTATTTACATTTCTATCCGTTACTTTACAGTGAAATTAATTTAAGAACTTAAGCTCTTTATATTAATAAATTTCTCCTTTGCGAGAACAGCTGGATCAATTAACTGAATAAATTTTAAAAGTGTGCTCTAAAAACTATATTACATAAAGTAATTTAAGTATTTTTGTTCTCAACACCACTTGCTGATGGATCACACGTTTTTTTTCCTGGTTCTTTTCATTTGAATACCAAGTTATCTTTTAGTTTTGAAAGAAATGCATTAAGTGAATCATTAGTTACATGTACATCAACTTCTTGCTAACGTGAAACTCACTTTAGCAGGATCTTCTTCCTCTGGTATCTTGGGTGATTGAATATGGGGAGATATGCGAACTTTTGGGCAGAAGATGAAAGGTTTAAAAATAGAGTGACAAGGATCTGGGGTTCCAGTGAACCAGTGGCAGCAAGGACGAGGTGAATTCACAGAAGTTATGACAGAAACCTTTGGATAAAATAACATAATAAAAACATTAAATACAATCAAAGACAGGCTTCAGAGGTAATGGATGTTGTGCACATTAAAGGTGATATGGACAGATCTAGTTTCAAGATAAATTGTTTGAGACCCTCTGATGTCACGATAAGGTCACCAACACAACTAACTGGCAACTACTGCCAAATTCACAATAAAAAATAGGTTACCAACTACTAATCTTACCACCTCGCACCTTCAACAGTAAAAAATGATAAACCTTGATATGAGGTGCATTTTGTGGAAGTGCACTATTTCTCTAGACTGTTGTCACATCTCTAATTATTGCACAACTAGACAACCTACCATATTTGTCTGAATATAATGCACCATCAAATATAAAGTGCACGCAATTTTGAAAGGTTAAATTGATTTTTTTTTTTAACAAGTCAGTTGTAAAAGATGTATTGAATAGTTTCTAAATGCAGTAAACAATTATTGATGTAGTAAACATTTTTGGAAATCTTTCATTGAAAATTTTTTTACGTGTCAGTTTTACAAAATTTATTGAAAAGTTTACATGTGGTAATACACTAAGCTAATCATTCATCTTCATATAAATCTTCATTGCTAGAATGGTTACTATCATCAGATTTGCTTCCTTGAACATTTGCTTCTGATTCCTACATCATCATTCATCCAATCTATTATGTTGGATATGAAACATTTATTGAAACCTTTAATGACTTTTGGTGGTAGTTTCTAGTAAAATACTTAAAAAAAATTTAATGCAGGAGAATACAATGCACAGTCAACTTTTCAGGAGGTACTTGGAGGAAACAAGTGTTCATTATACTCGGACAAATACAGTACTTATAGCTAATAACCAAGACCTGGGGCTAGATACGAAACGTTTCACTACTAATGTGCATTTTTTCTACTGTTTAGATAATTGAAGAAATGCAAAGTGTCGTATAGAGAATTTGATTCACCATGCCAGTAGACGAGTACTGAACTAACATGCATAAAAATGTAAATAACATTTAGCAATTTTATATTTACTGCTAGAATATATGTAACTTTAAGTGGATAATTTTATTCCGCTCCAAATGATAAAAGAACATTAAAAATAAACAAAAAGAAATATTTAATTTTTTTTTGAAGTTTCCCATGATGCTTTGTGAACAAATATTTTATTCCACTGAAACAAAGATGACAAATAATTTAAAAATTACTAAAAATATTTACAATAAACTTAAGTATTAAATGATGAAGTCCTCAATGTGTACCGACATCTCTTTGGAATTTGACATGCTTGTATGCTATTGACGTAAAGTAAATGTAACAATTATTTCATTAATTCTTCATTTCATGGTACTAACTGATGGCAAACAAATAAAATATGAAGAGAACAACAAATTAAAGCTTTACAACACTCACTTATGTAATATAAAAATTAAACTGTTTCTTGTGTAATACCTGGCTACTAGCTGTTGGGTACGTATGAACTGGTCCACGACAAATTTCACTGTCCGAATCACGCAGCACAGTCAGCATGGAAGAAATCCCAAACTCTCCTGAAAAGATGATGTTAACATTCCAAGTATATCTTAAGATTACCAATTGTACACTATATAATAAAATGAGTCAACTCATACTACTACCTCTGACAAGTTTCTTATATTAACTAACAGTAATTACTTCCATTAATGCTCACTGGTGATCTGATTATCAGATCTAATCAGACACCTACACAGTAGAAGTGAGCGATTAGTGGAATTTGTCATTCAGTTAATAGTCGTGATCATTAACTGATTACATTTATCTAATCAATTATTCTTACACGAGACTTGGATAGTTGCAATATTTGTAAATAGTAACAACAAGGGACTTATTGGTCCACCTCGGCTGTCCCATCCTCTAAATTAGACTGACTTATCGATTACACTGAACAACCTAGCATTAATCAAAAATAACAATGAGAAAACATAATGGCAACATTTCAATTACTGGAATAGTTTTAACTATTATTTTTTAACTAATTAAATTAACCAACTTAATCATAACTTTGATTAATCTATTTTTTCGTGACACTAATTAATGTAACTGATTCACATAGGTAATTTATTAACCAAGTTAGTTGCTCAGCTCTATAGCACTGTTTTAAACATTAACTAATGAAACTAATACATAAACAACATTTAAAACATTACATGATTCAGCAGAGAAGTTACCTACATGTTAAGTTTGTGTAGTAATAGATACTTGTTAATTCCGACTTACCGAGCTACACAGAAACACTAATGCTTATACAAGTAGTTTTTAAATGGACAACAGACTGTTAAGTTATGAACAAGTGCTTCTCAATGATTGGCTTACCAGCACTACAGAGAGAAAAATTATAAAAGACAAAGGAGCTTAAAATGCACACTAACACTGTGCAATATAGAAATTCATACATGGTAGCATTAAAGACATTCTAACTCACACGAATACTGTGAAAAGTTGCTCTTATTAACAAACAATCAATGAACCAACCATGGTTTTATAGAACTGAAGTGGATAACACGTACCAGAGGCTGATAACTTTGACAACAAGTTCTTTCCACAGTTAAATCTCTTCGTGTCTGTTTCATTGTGATCTCCAAAGACTTGACAGAAGTTTAAGTCCCCTTGATTGGGATCCCACAGTCCACTGCTCTGAGCATATTCTTTAAGGTGATCATGCATGAGGTCTATCTTGGTGCCAATAGACAATGTGTTGGATATATTTCTGTGTCCACCTTTCATAGTAAATAAAAATGTTGATTTTACTGTACAAGACAAAACTTATTTTAGACATTAAGGTTTATAAAAAAAATATTTCATCCCCAACAAAACCTAATTACACCAAGTCCACATGTACTATGTAAATCTATACTAATGAATGCAACAGGTGTTAACTCAATTTTAAGTTCTTTTAAATTATCTTATTAGCTTTCAAAGAAACAACTCACTGGTAATATGTTCAGCAGCCCAATATTTTCCAGCCGTTTCCAAAACGTAAGCTTCACTTCGATCAACAATCAGGAAACTGCTATGGTATGAGTTGATATGTCCACTTTCTGAGCAAGGTCCTCCTTGTCCATACTTGTCTAGTAGTTCAGTTATTACTTTAAGGGCATCTAAAGCTGTTGTTGCTCTTTCTAAGCCTAGCCTAGAGCAAGTATTAAATAAGAGATGCATATCTCAAGTATCCAGTAGTAAACAAAACTCTGGCCTTTTACCTTAATCCTACGATGCAAGTTTTACTGCCATTAGTCTTAAAGTTTGCTCATTTCGTTATAATCTAGTAGAAATTATCTTGAGTTACATTCTTTCACTCAATTTAAATTTTGTAGTATTTTTTTCAGCTAGTAAGTATGCATTCACATCTGCATAAAAAATGCTGATATTCTTAAGAAACAAAAGGGACTAGGTTAATACATCTTTCAAAATTAATTTATTTCAAGTTTTCATACTATTTACTGTATGGATAATTCAGAAATTTCTTCAAATGGAGATAATTCAGAAAAGGAAGAGAAAAACAATTGTTGGTCTACCCTGTGGCAATATCACTGAAGTTATTCGATGTCATGTCCTTCGAAGCTTTATTAATATGCATCATTTCTCAAAAGAAGGTCCATTGCAAAGGTGCAGAAATTAAGAAATGAGCTATTTTAAGTCACTCCAAAACGGATGCAAGCTCAAATTCAAATGAAACAAACATCTTCACAGGTGGCAAACACTCAATAGCAGTGTTCAAAATGTTCACCCAGATGCGATAAATCCTGGTGTGACAAGTGCACCGTCAATAATAATCGTTGATTTTGGTCTGTTAACATGGTATTTACAGTTGTTGACACGCATAGTCTTACCTCTGACATGAACGACAACATTCAATCTGGTAACTGCTTGATCATCCTGTGCGACACTATCCGTACATTGGGACCAACATTAAACTACACTTGTGTACTACCTTACATAGGGACTTATTTTAATACTTTAACTTTTTGGACCTTTTAAAGGTACATTGACCTGCTTATGCAAAAATTGTGCCTCAAACCTAAGTTTGTGTAACAACCTTGGCTTTGATCTTCTGTATACAGCTCCATATGCATGGAAGAGGTAGATACACTTATGCATATAGCTGTTGTTCTTGAGGAGTGATCTTGTTAATGTTTTACTTAGAATGTTTCATTTGTTTTCTACACATCTTTCCCCATTGATGTTTTTGGAGAATGATACATATTAATAAAGTTTTCAAAGGATATAACCTTTAATTACTTAGATATTGTTACAGGGTAGACTTACAACTCCTTACTCCATATCCTTAACAACCGTTTTCCTACACGTCTCCATTTTTGAATTATTTGCCTGTCAGTGAACTTCTGAATCCCCCTCTATTATTTAACAGTTAAAACAACAAATAACATTTTCAAAAGCCATAACCTGTGCACGTTTTCAACCGTTAAGTAAAAAAAATGAAGTTTAAGAACAGCAGTTTCTGTACTGCTGATAGGCAAAAAATATTTGGTGAACACTCACTTACATTGATTGTGAAAAATATATTTAAAGATAAGAATTCTTTGTATTCTTCACATCACAGATTTTGGAAATTTAGCCATATTGCTTGATAATGGTATTGGAATGAATAGGAACATAGTCTACACATGGCGAGAGAAAACCCATTTGTTCCCAACAAAGAAAATAAAACATATGGTTATGATATCCACCATATGTTTCTCTCACACCATGGTCTATCTTTGATAAAGGGTAAGGTGGAGCAGTTCCCCCCCCCCCTCCTCCTACATCTGTCTCTTTGCCCATGTCTGTCTGTCTCTTTGCGTGTGTGTGCATTAAATGCATTTGCAGTCCAGTGGCAATGAGCAAAAAAAACATTACTTTCTATATCAAATATAATATCACAAAGAATGAGACCATAACAGAACACTGAATATCATGAGTAAAGTGCCAACACATTTTTCAGAAAATAAGTAAAATCCTATTTTGTGGAAGAAAGCTTCAAAACTTTATACACCCTTGTTGTAACGTGTAACAAACTCACCTTACAAGATCTGATCCAAGAAGTCTTTCTTCATCATCTTCAGGCCCATTAAGTTTGGTTCTAACAGCTTCATTCCCTATACAAACTCCATATTCATTGGCTCCCATCTCAGCACCCCACATCCAAGCAGGTTTGCTCAAGATCACAGAATGTGTGTGGGGCACCTGTTCTACTTCGATGTAGGTGCACTATAGAAATATAATTATATAAAATCCATTAATAACAGAGGCCTGCAATGGTTTTTATTATCTTGAAATTTTTACATGTTCTACAGTAGTTCCTGTACGCTGAATCCAAAAATGGTATCCATTTTTCTCCATCCCATACAGATTTTTCACAAAACATCATATGTACTTTTACACAAGTGAATCATTTTCATTGAAATTGGGTCACATTGTCATGCTTAAAGTGTTGACAACCAATGGCTATAGATTTCTCTAGACCAATCACAACACTAGTCTTATTGATCATTCTAGAAACAATAAGAAACACCCCTAGTATATAAACAGTTAACAGGCCACATAACATGTCATTTCTGGACAGTATTTGTTTGCATGTGCACTTTGATATTTTTTCTTTACAATATTATTTATTCATCACTATGACAACAAGACATTGTGTAAATGACCCAAACATAATCTGTTATATTTTTGGTAAATTTAACCTCAAAGGTTTTCTTTTTCTTCCTGACTTGAAAAAAAAAATCCTTACAAAACAACTTTTATGAAGTTTAAATTCTCAGGCCTGTGTAATTAGAATGTAAAAAAAATTAACCCTAATAATTTTCACTTTGCTTTTAGTTCAATGTTTATTTTAATAATAATAATAATTAAAAAAAAAGACTTGAATCCCAGCTTACCCACAAATAACACCAGCTACAATATCAATGAGTGCATGTCATGACTGTTTTACTACAAACACACACACACACACACACATACACAAACACACACAGATGCATTCAAAATTTAATAAAAAATATTATCAATGCATGTCAGAAAGCTTTGCATCAAAATACAGTTCAAAATTCAAAGTTTTGCATTGTCTAAGTTTTAATTCATTTCAAAAGGAGATATTTAAATAAATTCTCAATCTTTACTTTTCTTTATCACATGATAAACCTATGCTCTGAATTGCCCATTTTCTTTTCACTTTACTCTCCACTGCTGATTTCACTATACTAGTTTTAGGGCAGAGAAAATAAAGTTTTACTGAAAAAAATAATTTGAGATTCTACAGTTCATACAAATGATATACAAAAACTGTAGAATGAAAAATGTTTATTTTTAATATGAAAATCACTGTGCATCACAATAGTCAGTCTGAATCAGACTGACCCTGTAAATGTACAAACAAATCTTTAGTAAAATGCTTTATTGCAAAATCTGATTTCTTGCATACAACAATCTTGTAATGTTTATTATATATATAAAAAAACTTTCCAAATATCATAAATACATTTAGTAAATTTAGAATTATAGTATTTATATTTTTTTGTTACAACATCAGTCAAAAACAACCAAGCCAACAATCAGAGGGTTAACGTATACAAACATACAATAACAAACCTAATTACCTGACTAAGTCACACACAACCTACATAGAGTATGGATTACATAGGAACATTTGATCCTTAGAACTATCTCTACATACCTATCTGTCAATGGTGTAATTAGTTCTCAAAGATTGCCAAGGTAAAATGTTTTGCTGCCCCATTCTCTTTTGATTAACCAAAAATGAAAGAGGCTCACATCTCTAATCTTTGACTTACTCTGAAACCCGGTCTGTTTCTGGTGTTTATCCATTTTTTATATCTCAAAGTTTTTTTTCCCACCAAATGATTAATATCTACACGTTTCAGGCCAATTAAAACATTTCTCATAGAATACTCTGGGTCAAAAATATTACCAATATCTTTTTTTTTTGTAAAAACAGACAAAAAAAGAAAATTTTTTAAACTCTGCCATATCAACAAAAACCTTGCCATCAGCACCTTTTAAGGATCTAATCCCTATTCTAACAACTTGCTTATCTTTAACATACTTAAAATAAACATTTTTGTTAATTTAACATGTTCTGTCAGCCATTTCTCATAAACCCTTTTGGAGTTCCTAATTTTTTTTCCCCCAACTAACCCCCTAACCTTCCTATAGTTAGGGATGTCTTCCAACCTACGGATCAATTTAAACTTCTGCCATTTATCCTGCATATTGTCCTTTACATCATTAGTAACTCAATATTGTTTGATTCTCCCCATTATACTTTTCCTCTCTTTAGAAACGTGCCTATATTGAATCGAAAGCAATTAAACTTTTAACATTTCCCAAATATGTTCTGCATCATCTTTTAACACATTGCAGAAATGACATGTGGACCCACTTGTACTTTTTACCTTGAAGTTCAGTTTCAAAAAGCAACAAGCATCATGAGGTTTGATCTTGAAAGCTGATTTGGATTTTAGCATAGAGCACCTGGATAAGCTTTTAAAAAGTTACTGCCACAGTGAAACTTCCCACCTGACAAACTATATGTAACAGAGCAACAACTGTTCAACCAACTGATTTTATCCAAAAGAAACATACTCCAGGTTAAAGACCATTTTAATTGTGAAATTTAACTAAGCTTCTATCTGCACTAAGGTTTGTTGCATTTTTT